GCACGCTAGAAACACGCTAGACACACCAGCTTAAGAATACAATGAGATTGTAAATGTGAGCTGAGGCCTACAAACCTGGGCAGCAGATTTGCTGTGCTCACTACATCTCCTGACTTGACTGAGGCCCTACAGAGCCTCGTCCACAGACTGTCTGTAGCTAAGACACTACATTAAAGAAGCAGCTTGTAAATCTCTTTTAACTCTCATAGACTTCCAGCCTTCTCCCTGATCAGTCTACGGTGGTGAGGTCCTACTGCACTCTTTTCTCTTGGCTACCTTGATGCTATAATCTCCATACAGGGAAGTGCAATTGGCAGTATTCAAAACTCAAATATTTGAAAAATAGGCACCATTCTCGAAACAGATTTCCCATCTTTTACACACTATCATTACATGAGAATATATTTACAGTGTATTCTTATGTGAAAAAAGCAGTCAACCAAAGATATTACCAGAGTTCTGTTTTGACAAATAATGTATGTAAAATTGGGTGTTCATAACAGGGCAAGAGTTGCCTTTTTTCGTTCATCGCAACTTTCTATATTAGTAAGGTTTCAACACTGGACATGTACAATTAAGAAATACAAGATATGTTGTGAAAACTCACATCGGCCATGGTTTCTTTCTACGGTGCCTTTGTTCTCATGCCTTTGGTAGTGGGTGCCTCCTCAGGGGCTAGTGAGAGCTTCCCTCTGCTGGGTCTGTCTGAGGATAGCGGTCACACCATGCTCTAAGCATGTATAAGGCAACTGAGGCAAAGCCAGTGACTTTGCCTTCAGTGGAATCACAGATACATAGCTGAAGAGCATGCATAGCACTATACCATCCACTGAACTTACCAAGTAAACCAGTAAAAAGGTTTAGACCGAGCTACCAATGGAAACACTGGATATCTCCCTTTTCAACCAGTTGATTTCAGCCCCCAAACGACTATTGGTTTAAGGTCCCAAAGCTCCTCAATCTCTTTAGACCAACAGGGATGCGGTGCTCTTAAGAATCAGGACACCCTATGTGGGTGATGGTGACAGGGCTAGGGTGTATGGTTTGAGGCAAGGAGTGTCAACCGTACGTAAATTATATAGAAGAGGCTCCTTGCAGAAAAAGTTTCCGTTATCAGAAATCGTGCGGAGGATGTTGAAGAGGCCAAAATAGATAACTGCTAGAGTAAAATGAAATAATTATTACATAGAATAATTACAAAAATTCCATTGAAATCCTTTCATGACACTAAGCCGATGGATTGGATTTTCCCCAGCAAAGTAACACAGTAACCTCCATAGAGATCGGTGGACCCTTCTGTCCAGGGCCATTCTCTGGTTCCACTCCACACAGGTTTTCCATGAGAGAGTTGCAGTGAGCTGACGCTCTGCCTTGCAGCCCTGGAGCTGCTACAGGGACAGGTAAAGGTAGCAAATGGAGAACAAATAAAACTGTCAAAATGTGATTTTAATAGATCTTAATGCTCTTACATAATATGCTGGCTAGTAAGAGCACAATAATAAAAAAGATTTTCACACTTTTCTCCTCAAATGTCATTTAAATTTCATTAGGTAGAACTTTATGACATGATGGCACTGGCGATAATGATTCCTTCTTCATTCTCCAGTCATTTTGGCTAGTGGAAGGGCCTAGGGAAAAGCATTAGCACTTGGCTGATTGATATTAGTAGGGACCACAGAGAATTAATAAAAATTGTAAGACTTTTTTATCCCCCCACCTCAATTGGATGGGGAAACTCAGATTTGATAGGGGTTAATTATGCCAGATTATTTTGTTTGTTTTGTTACTAGCTGGTAAAAGAGTTGGTTTTCCCCTTAAATTGAGGTTTCAAGATGTTGAAACTGCAGCTAGGGTAAAGGGAATATGAAAAGAGGGCGTTTGTTTGAGAGACATTTGGGCAAATAGAATGACAAGGTGGGTATAGGAAGTGATGCTGCATGAGCCACCTGCCATGGCTGAGATTTGGCTGCTTCAAATTTATGATATTTACTAATTGCTGTTTTGCTGTTATTTGACCCTGAGGTCTAAACGCTTAAGTGCCTACCCATTCTTTTTGTTTTAATCAGCTTATTTAAATGATTGATATATCTGGGTTCTGTGGTTAGGATTTGGTTATTCATGTTTGTATCTGAATCGGATTTCAGTTCATTATCCATGTTGGTGTCATAAAAAAATAAAATGTAGCTGCTATTTGAGGAGCCTTTTAAATAAAATTTCCCTGGCTAACTTCAGCCCCATCCCACTGTCCAACCAGAATTTTAAGGTCCAAAAAAAGTATTGTTTTTAAAATTTTTTAATTTTTAATTTTTGCAGGGGCATAGTAGGGGTACATATTTGTGGGGTACATGAGATATTTTGATACAGATGTGCAATGTAAACTAACTACGTCATGAAGAATGGGGCATTCATTCCCTCAGGATTTATTCTTTGTATTACAAGCAATCCAATTATACACTTTTAGTTATTTTTAAATGTACAATTAGGTTGACTGTTGTGCTATCAAATGGTAGGTCTTATTTATTCTTTCTAATTTTTTTGTACCCATTAACTATCCCCAACTCCCCTCCAATCCCCACTCCCCTTTCCAGCCTCTGGGAACCATCCTTCTACTCTCTTTCTCCATGAGTTCCATCATTTGGATTTTTAGATCCCACAAATTAGTGAAAACATGTGACATTCCCAAGGGAGTTTTCTAGAAGGATTCCTAGCTGCCCACTTCTTCTCCACCATGTTGTCCTTTTCATCTTCAGGATCTGAGTTCACCACATTCTCTGGGCTAGAGGGGTGTGAACTCTTTCATAGATCACTTCCAACTCTCTGCCTTTGAGCTTTCTAGGCTGCAGGGCCCCTGTCTTGTGGGTCTTCCCCATTTGTTCTTCATGACCTGGCTCTCTGGGACTTCCTTGCTGAACACCACATTTTGATTGTAGTAAAGGTAATAATAAAGCAAGAAAAGGTATAAAATTCATGTGGTGCCAAGAGAAAATACAGTATTCTGCGCTTCTCTCCAAGACTTGCTGACTCACAATTAGGTTTAGAGCATGTCTAGAAATTAGGTGTTTTCTCATTACCACTCACTGTATTATATGGAATCGGGAAGCAAATCTGAAGCTTGAAAATCTATTAGGCAGTACTTTATCCATGACTCAGTAGCAACTCACCACATTTTCCGTGCATTACAAATAGAAAGTGCGTTTCCTGTTTCCTCTGAAATACTTGTGTGGTTATCAAAGTAGAAGCCTTCAAATACAGACTCTCAATTGGGTACTAACTAGAACTTTTGAGCAATGCAAGAATTGCCTTTTGTACCTTCCCAGGGGAAAGCCCAAGTTAGCCCACGCAGTTAGCCTATGCACGTGCAAGTTGGCACCATTCAGCGACGCTCTGTTTTGAACAGCAGTTGGAGAGCTCAGAGACTTCCTTTCCTGTAGAAATGCTTTCCAAAGCTTTTGTTTCCAGCTTGGTTCCCTGAATGTTTCTGAGCCATGTGCCCATGGCAGGAATGAGTACATGGTAGGAACATGCTGGTCAAACTTACATGGAAAACCCTCACATCAGAGATCAATCTCAGGCCTTTGAAATCATCAGTCCCTGGAGTAACAGTACCTTAAGGGTTGTCAAAAGAAGCAGGCGCTCCGGGGCAGGAGCTGCCACAAGCTCTGTTTCCCTGGATTTAATGACAGAGTTCAATCTAGATGTAACCAGATCCGTGGGACCAGGCGGTAGGGTTTTGCTACTCCTGGTAATGCCTAAGTAAGATCTGACCTTTGGTCTATTTTCCTAACATATACCAAATAGCTTTGGCACATCAAACATCTGGCTGCACAGACACCAAGCTTTCAATGTTAAGGTACAGTCGCAGACCCAGGGTGATGTTAGTGTAGATCATTTCTGCGCAGCAATCCCAAGAATGCCCTGAACACTCCAGCTTTGGCTATGGGGAACAATGAGCATCATAGTAAATGGACACACAATGACCTCCCTGATGGACACCCATCCTAACAGTGGAGGAAAGGGCCTTGGTAAAGACTTGTGATGATAGGCTGTTTAATTTTGTTTAGAGAAACTGGACTTTTGACAGATGAACTTCTTTTCCCTTGGATTCATATTTGTCTAACAGAGTTGTGGTTGGGAAATGATCCAGGATTCACAGGGTCAAAAAGTGACCTGGTTCACATACTGTAGACTCCTCCCATCTCACTCCGCAGCTTCCCCAGGCAGTGGTCCGGTGGGCTGTCGGTACATCCACACCAAAAATGGTCACCCAAGGGACATATCAACCTCCTGGGCTTGGCCCTCAGACATTCCAGCAGGCCCATCAAACTCAAGTCTCCATTCCAGATAATCAACTTTTCTCTTCTATGCTGCACTCTGAAGCTTGAAACCATTCCAATGTGCTTGATGAATGAGCATCTTGTTATAATGCATGAGGAATTAAGGCCATTAGTGAAATTTTAAAAACAATAATATACTGGATTTTTGTAATATCTTTTTTTCATGAGAAAACCCATTGTCATAGACAATCCAGTTGTAGTCTTTTTTTCACTGTCCAAAGAGTGAAAGAATAAAGGAATGTTGAATAAACATTTTTAGCCTTATCTTTGAAACTTAAAAACCCATTAAAAAAAAAAAAGAAAGAATTGTAAAGAAAAATCTCCTCTTTTCCTCTAGTGCCCTGGTTCCCTGGTGTATAAATAAGACATTTTTCCCTCCCTGAGACTCAGCCTTTGTGGCTGAGTGTATTATCTGTGGTTTTGTTATTATCCACATACTTATGGATCTACATTGAAGATAATCTTGGTAGACACATAACAAAGACCTTTGTATTACCTGCTCATTTTCCAGCCCCTCCTGGGTAGGCCTACTTATGCAGACTTACCTGGAACAATTTTGTTTTGCAATAACTTGCACAAAGCTCACCAGTGTCTCCATGATTAAGAAGGCAGAGTTCTAGGGTGTGGCTATGGGATTCACAATTTTCTCTCTCTTGTGTTTTTCAGAAATTGAGGCGAAAGAAGCATGTGACTGGCTCCGTGCTGCCGGGTTCCCGCAATACGCTCAGTTATATGAGGGTACGTCAGCCTTCCCTTCGCTCTCACACAGAGAATAAATCCAAAATGAACCACACGTATCCTGTGGTGTGTTTTGACTTCCAAATTTTTTTCTCGCCCATTTTACTTTGCTTTCTTTTTCCCTCAGCCTTTGCTATGCCCAGGGTTTATCCTGATACCAATTTAGAAATGAGTATCGCTTCCCAGGCCCACTTTACTCTCTGCTTCCCACTGCTAATTCACATCTCTTTACCACAAACCCCAACTCCCTGTTTTCCTTCCAGTATTTTGCCATCAGCAGCTTTTCTGCACTTTCTTCCTTTTCACCTGTTTTTCCTTTACTACTCTCAGTTTTCTTGAAATCACAATGAATTTACTGTTAATAAACTTCCTAGAAGTCACAAAATTAATTGTCCTGAGATTTCTCTAATTCTATTTACTTTACATGAAAAATGTTAAAATGTAACATGAATCCGACGTTATTCTTCTGAGTTTTAGGTAAGGTATTTTATTGCTAACATTAAACTTCCTTTCATTTAATTATTTTTTTTGAGAGAGAGAGTCTGGCTCTGCCAACCAGGCTGGAGTGCAGTGGTGCAATCTCTGTTCACTACAACCTTCGCCTCCTGGGTTCAAGCAATTCTCCTACCTCAGCTGCTTAAGTAGTTGGGATTACAAGCATGTGCCATCACATCTGGCTAATTTTTGTATTTTTAGTAGAGACAGGGTTTCATCATGTTGGTCAGGCTGGTCTCAAACTCCTGACCTCAAGTGATCTGCCCACCTTAGCCTCCCAAAGTGCTGTAATTACAGGTGTGAGCCACCGCCTGGCCCTTTCATTGATTCTTTGACAGTTAATAGACATACTCATGTTCCTTATAATCTAAAATTATAACCCAATCTTGTAACTTCTTCTTGGATTGTCCTTATATAGTAATGAACTAGTCAGGACCCCAATAGTGAGCAGATGGCAGGCTCAAGGCCATTTGCAGAGTATTTATTTCTAACAGTGCTCATTACAAAGGTTCAGGCAGGACGGGGGGGGGGGGCGACAAGGAACAGTGCACAGTGCAAGGGTCCAGGGCTTTTAGTGGCAGAGCTGTCACTACCGTGAGCCCAGAGGGACGGACAGGCCAAGGAAGAGGGTGCCAGAGCCCAGGAGGAGAGAGGAGCCTCAAACCAGACCCTAGGAAGGAGCGCAGCTGGCAAGAGGCAGCCTCCCATAAAAAGAATCACAAGTGTCTCCCTCCCTCCCTCCCTCACTAGCCAAGCAAGACAGCTTCATTCTGGAACCATCACTCACATGACTTTTTTTTACCAGAAGGGAAATTATTTCTGTTTCCAGCTCACACTAAGATTGGCAAGGTGTAGACAGCACAAAATATAATATGAGATAAAGAAAAAAGTGGCAAGACAATGATAGTGACCCAGCGTTGTTACATTTGGCCATGCCCTCTATTCTAATGAGCTGCAGATTCCTACCTCCATCAACAAGGTACCCAGAATTAACACCTTGTTCTAAATATTGCCCATGACCTTCAAAGCTGGCACGAATTGTCTGTTGGAGATAAGTTGTGGCATTCAAATTCTTCTTTTTGGATAGAATCAGTCTGAGTATTTTGCTGATACTCCAGAGTGACTCAAGATTTTGCTACCAAAGGAAAAAAAATTGAGATAATAGAACTTTGGGTATTTTTGGAAATTTCCTTTTTGAAGGGAAAAAAAAATCTGCCAAACAAAGTATTTAAAGAAATCGCCGAGCTAGACTCCAGTGACCTGCGTGTTAGGTGGATGGTGAAAGTGCAAAAGCTCTTCTCCGAGGCCACATCTGCCTATGACTGTGACAAGAATGAGCCAGAAAAATGCAGGCACTTAGTTTCAATCCCATCCAAGGTCAAGCACTTGACTGTCCTCATATTTCGCACTTATATTGTACTCCTGAAAGCATTTATAGTGATAAAAATTGTTTGCTCTCTTAAACATTCCTAACAATGATGACGGGCAGTCACTGCTGTTAAAATCAGTGGCTTTTCCAGACCTTGAAGGTCTGAATATATTGGTGGCCATTCAGATAAAGCAAAGTACCTCAACCTCTTTGTCTCTCTCTCTCTCTCTCAGATTCACAATTTCCCATCAACATTGTGGCTGTCAAGAATGATCATGATTTTCTTGAAAAGGACCTTGTAGAACCTCTTTGCAGGTAAACCACATGAAGTATTTTTGTTTCTTTCCGCTGATCCGTCTGCAACAGGCCTCACTATACTGAAGGGCAAGTTCAACTACTCGGCAAGTATTCATTGAGTGCCTCCCATGTGCCAGACCTGGGTGCAGGTTCTCAATGCACTGCTTTGAATGAGCATGATCAGTTTGGGTTTTCATGGAGCTTATATCCTAGGAGGGGCCTTTGGACAATACATTAGGAAAAAGACAGAGAGAGGAAAGAGAGGGAGAGAGTCAGAGAAAGAAGGAGGGGGAAAGGTTATTTCAGAGAGTGTAAATGCCATGAACAAGCTAAAACAAAATGAGGATGTAGACGGTGATGGGAGGCGTGGATGGGTCAGTGGAGGGAAACAGCATGAGCAGGCTCAGCATGTGTGGTCAGGGAAGGCTCTGAAAAACTACGAGTATGTCAAACTTGGCTGTATTTTTTGCAAAGTCAAGTGATTATCTCCTCAAACTGGTATATGTAAGCTCAAGCAATTGTAGCAGCACACTGGCCTATTTAAGCTATAATATTTTGTGATAGTGTAAGGAGACAAAGATGTATATATGGGAAATTTCTTCCCCTTAAAACAACATATAATCTTGTTGAAGAAGCTCAGTTGAAGAACCGAGGCATGAATACATGAACAAATAACAATTATAATTTGGGTAATAATAAAAGATCCAGAAGAAGCTATATTCCTGAAAAATTAAATGCTGCCTGAGAGGTGGTGTGTCTGTAGGAATTTGAAGTTTTATGACTAAAGCCTGAAGATAGGTAAGAGCTGAAGATAAGGATTAGTTATGAGTCATTTTACCAAGGCCCATACAGCTAGTGTAGGGTTGAGGTGACCTTAAAGCCAGTACTCGTAATGCCAAATCCAATGCTCTTTCTAGTATATTCTGCATTTGATATAGATAAGGTAGCAGTTTAAAGGGAAAGTAATGACTAGCCAAACTTATGAAGTCAGGAGAGATCAACACACATTAAATAGCGTGTAAGTGACCTAATCTTAGGCCTGCCAAATCTTCAGACATATATATTTTTGTGAAACAAACCAGTTACTCTGTGTTTTCTATATGAAGAGAAACAGGTTTGTGTTAAGAAATGATATCTGAATGTTCAAGACTGTAATACTATGGATTCGCTTACATGGGTAAAAGAGCAAAGAACTCTTCAAATCATACATTACAGGAGTAAGCTCTTTGGATGAAAAATAAACAAAATGCCATTTAAGAGCTTACAATGTGAATGGATGATCTGGTTGTGATTCTGTAAAGGTAATGAATTGGAAAAGCAGTGTTTCCTCTTCTGCATGTCTAAGGTACATACCAAACAGGAGCGGATTCTTCCTCATAAGCATTCACTCCACTCAGAGGTATGCAGCCAGTCAGCACTTCATCCTGAGTTTTCTCTCTGTTTTAACCATGTATTACTTTTGCTAGTTGGCTTTTTAAATATGTGAAAAATTATCTATTATTTTTTTCCAATTGAAGTTTTGAAATTTATGTTTACAGTAAGTTGAGGTATAACATTTGTGTGTGTGTGCATGTGTGTATACACACACATATATTTGAAGCAGAACACATATATGAACATACATATATATGAACATACGTGTATAAATATATACACATACATACATATATACATACACACATATATTTGAAGCAGAGTCTGGCTCTGTTGCCCAGGCTGGAATGCAGTGGTGTGATCTCAGTTCACTGAAACCTTTGTCTTCTGGGTTCAAGTGATTCTCCTGCCTTAGTCTCTGGAGTAGCTGGGATTACAAGTGTGCACCACCACACCTGGCTAACTTTTGTATTTTTAGTAGAGACCAAGTTTCACCATGTTGGCCAGGCTGGTCTCAAACTCCTCTTGGCCTAAAGTGATCCGCTCACCTCACCCTCCCAAAGTGCTGGAATTACAAGTGTGAGCCACCAAGCCCAGACAAGGTATAACATATTGATATGGTTTGGCTCTGTGTTCCCACCCAAACCTCATCTTGAATTGTACTCCCATAATTCCCACATGTTGTGGGAAGGACCCAGTGGGAGATAATTTGAATCATGGGGACAGTTTCCTTCATACTGTTCTCATGGTAATGAATAAGTCTCACAAGATTTTATGGTTTTATCAAGGGGTTCCACTTTTGCAGCTTCCTCATTCTCTCTTAATGCTACCATGTAAGAAGGGCCTTTTACCTCCTGCCATGATTCTGAGGCCTCCCCAGCCATGTGGAACTGTAAGTCTAATTACAGCTCTTACAACTGTAAGTCTGGGGTATGTCTTTATCAGCAGTATAAAAACAGACTAATACAGTAAATTGGTACCAGGAGTGGGGTGTTACTGAAAAGATACTTGAAAATGTGGAAGCAACTTTGGAACTGGGTATCTGGCAGAGGTTGGAACAGTTTGGAGAGCTCAGAAGAAGACAGGAAAATGTGGGAAAGTTTAGAACCTCCTGGAAATTCATTGAATGGCTTTGACAAAAATGCTGATAGTGATATGAACACTAAGGTCTAGGCTGAGGTAGTCTCAGATGGAGATGAGGAACTTGTTGGGAACTGGAGCAAAGGTTATATATTTTAGCTTATATATTTTAGCAAAGAGACTGGTGGCATTTTGCCCCTGCCCCAAAGATTTATAGAACTTTGAACTTGAGAGACATAATTTAGGGCAACTGACAGAAGAAATTTTTAAGTAGCAAACAAATCATTCGAGAGGTGAGTTGGATGCTATTAAAGGCATTCCATTTGAAAAGGGAAACAGAGCATAAAAGTTCAGAAAATTTGCAGCCTGATGATTCAGTAGAAAAGAAAACCCCATTTTTTTTTTAGGAGAAATTCAAGTTGGCTGAAGAAATTTGCATAAGTAAGAAGGAGCCAAATGTTAATCCCCAAGACAATGGGGAAAATGTCTCCAGGGCATGTCATAGGTCTTCATGGCAGCCCCTCCCATCATAGACTCAGAAGCCTGGGAAGAAAAAATGGTTTTGTGGGCTGGGCCTAGAATCCTCATGCTGTGTGCACCCTAAGGATTTAGTGCCCTGTGTCTTGGCTGTTCAGCTGTTGCTAAAAGGAAGGGGCCAGCTTGGCTTATGGTTTCAGAGGATGAAAACCCTAAACCTTAGCAGCTTCCACATGGTGTTGAGCCTGTGGGTGCACAGAAGTCAAGAATTGAGGTTTGGAAACCTCCACATAGATTTCAGAAGATGTATGGAAACGCCTGGATGCCCAGGCAAAAGTTTGCTGCAGGGGTGGGGGCCTCCTGGAAAATCTCTGCTAGGGAAATGCAGAAGAGAAATGTGGAATTAGATCCTCCACAGAATCCTTACTGGGCATTGCCTAGTAGAGCTGTGAAAAGTGGGCCACTGTCCTCCAGATCGCAGAATGGTAGATCCACTGACAGCTTGCGCTCTGCACCTGGAAAAGCCACAGACACTCAATGCCAGCCCAAGAGGCAGATATTGCAGTGAGCCTAGATTGTGCCACTGCACTCCAGCCTAGGTAATAGATCAGGACTCTGTATCCAAACAACAAAAACAGATATAAAGTAGTTTCATCACTCCCAAAGTTTCCCCATTCCTCGTCAACAACTTCTACCCCTTCTCCCAAACCTTGGCAACCACTGATTTGTTTTCTGTACCTATAGTTTTGCCAGAATATCATACAAATGAAATCAAGGATCGTGTAGCCATTTTAGTATGGTTTCTTTCACTTGTTGTAAAATAATAAAGATTTATTTATGTTGTTATGTATTTTAATAGTTCATTGCTTTCTCTTTCTAAATAGTCTTCTATTGAATGGATGTTCTGTGTTTGTGTATCCATTTGCCAGTTGAAGAATATTTGTGCTGTTACCAGCTTGGGTGGTTATAAACCCACTCTGAACATTCATATTCAAGTTTTTGTATGCATATTTAAGTTTTCATTTCTTTTATGTAAAATCCTAGGAATGGGATCGTGGGGTCTACATGATAAGTTTATTTTAACTTTACAATAAACCACCAAATTTTGCCAAAGTGAAATAGCATCTTGTACTCCCATTGACGATGTATGAGTCCTTACTGCTCCACATCTTTGTTAGTACTTAATATTGTCGGGTTTCGTTTTGCTTTTAGACATCTTAATAGGTGTCTGGTATTAACTCATTTGTACTTTCTTAATGACTAATAATGCTGAACATATATTCATATGCTTATTTACTATCCATTCGTCTTCTTTTATAAAATATCTATTCAACTCTTTTGATCATTTTCAATTGTATTGTTTCTCTTATTATCGAGTTTTGAGAGTTTTGATATGTCATATATATGAGTCCTTTGTCAGAAATGTGTTTTGTAAATATTTTCTGCCAGGCTGTAGCTTGTATTTTCGATCTCTTAACAGTATCTTTCACAGAATAGAAGTTTTAATTTTGCTGAAGTCCAACTTACCTATTTTTATTTATGCTTTTAATGTCATATCTAAGAAATCTTTGCCTAACATAAGGTCACAACTATTTTACCCTATGTTTTCTTGTGGAAATTTAATATGTTTGTGTTTTATATTTAGGTCTATGATCCATTTTTAGTTCTTTTTTTTTTTTAGAAAGTACAAGGTATGAGTCAAGATTTACTTTGCATATCAATGTCCAATCGTTTTAGATAGATATTGGAAAGACTATACTGTTGTTATTGAATTGCCTTTGACCATATAAGCCTATTTCTGGATGATCTGTTCTGCCCCATTTATCTATATGTCTGTCCTTTCATTAACATGACACTGTCTCGATTACCTAGGTAAGTCTTGGAATGCAGTAGTTTGAGTTCTTTAACTTTGCTCTTTGTCAGGATTGCTTTGGCTATTCTAGTGCCTCTGACTTCCCATAAAAATGTTACAAACAGTTTATCGATATTTATTTTAAAAATCCTAAAGGGGTTTTAGTTTGGATTTGTGGAACCATCTGTGTCAGTTTGTGGAGAATTGATGTCTCAACACTATTTAGTCTTTGTAT